TTCGGTCCCTTTTGGGACTCCGCCTCGGCGTCGTCTGCAGGGAGTGGGGAGGAAGCCGTCGGAAGTGAAGCGCTATTCACATCCGACGAATTCAGAGAGCCGCTCGACGAATCGCCGAGCTGAACTCTGGGTGGACTGCATAATTAAAATTCAGCATCAGAAGCTATCGAATAATAGAGGGGCGCCTTGAGTCATTTGGGTAGCCGGACACTTACAATTTTGCCAGGGGCTTGACCCTGGATGGCCATTCCTCCCCGCCGTCTTCGGCATCGGAGGCATAGTCCGGCAGAAGGGTCTTCCCCTTCTTGGCCCCCTCGGCCTCCCCAGTTGGGGCAGCCTTCCTTTTCTTTCCTCCCCCCGTTGGAGGGGGAGAGCCTTCTTCTTCTTCTTCCTCCTCCTTGTCTTCCGAGGCGGAGGGTGCGTCGGGGTCGTCGGGCGATGAGTCCGACACCACCAGGTGCCGGGAGCTCTTTTGAGTCCCCGTGGCCTTCTTCTTGGCCTTCTTCTCTGGCACCACGTGAGGTGCCGGAACCAGCAGCTTCGTTAAACGAGCATCCGCTGGGTCTTCGGGCAAAGGAGCTGGACAGTTAATCTGTCTGGCCCTCTTCTGCCAGTCCTGTCAAAGGGATGGGGGTTTAGATCCTGCATAAAATCAAATCTATGGAAAACAGATACCCCGCAATGGGAAAATTAGCTCACCACGCTGGCTTGGCGCTTGGCGCAGAATCCGTGATCCTCGGTGACGGGAGGCGAGACCTCGGAGCTCTTGAATAGCACCTTCCATGCATCCTCGTGCTTTGTGTCGAAGAGCCGGGATAGAGTCTGGTGCTGGGCCGGGTCAAACTCCCACAAGTTGAAAGGCCGTCGTTGACACGGGAGAATCCGGTGGAAGAGCATGACCTGGGCTACGGTGACAAGTTTAACCTTCGTGCTAATCAGGTCTTTGATGCAGGTTTGAAGTGTGGTCACTTCTGTTGAATTACCCCACGACAGGCCCGTCTCTTTCCAGGACATGAGCCATGTGGGAATGCCAGATTGGAATTCGGGGGCCGCTGCCCATTCAGGGTCACGCGGCTCGGTGATGTAGAACCACCCCGATTGCCACCCTTTGATGGTCTCTACGAAGGCGCCCTCGAGCCATGTAACGTTGGGCATCCGGCCCACCATGGCACCTCCGCACTCCGCTTGGCGGCCCCCACTACTTTCGGCTTGACATTAAAGTCTTCAGCCATAAGCGGAAGTGGGGCTGGATGCAGAGGAAAGCCTCGCACACGACGATAAACGTCGAGATGTTGAGGACGAAGTTTGGGGCCAGATCATGGAAGTCCAGGCCATAGTAGAACATGAGCCCCCGGACGAACGGGTGAAGAGGAAATCCAAGTCCACGAAGGAAATGGGGGAGAAAAACGACCCTCTCATGGGGCCTGGGGGTGGGGATGAGTTGCCCCGCATCTGGAAGCCGGTGCGCAATGTCGTCAGATAGGTATCCGGCCTCCCTCAGCTTTTTGATTTGCCCCTCCGTGACGGAGGAGGCCATCCACTTGCCTCCCGCTCCGGACATGGTTGGAGTAGGTCGAGGCGAGATGTGCGGGCTTGGGCGCTGGAGCTCGAGTACGCAGGGAGGGATAAGCAAAGGAGGAAGAGGCGTAAATGGAAAGGGTAGATCCTTATCCCCTTATATGGGCGGCCGAAACTACGAGCCCCCACCGGCCTAATAAAACTCGCTTATCCCCCAAGCGCCATGGTTAATGGCGCGGTTTGGTTACCCACACCCGTATTGATGAGGATCCCGGAATAAGGGGACACGATCTCTGCTTTGACAAGACGTGCCAAGGAAACCGCCTCGCTAAACGCGTTGAGGTGGAACAGTAAAATGATTCAAATAAAGGCTTGGCCGTGGTGTGATGTCACGCTACGGAATGCGTCAGCAGATTAGATTTGTACAGATATTATTCTCTCTACGGTGGTATGTGGAACTTATTTTGCAGAGCCGGACACTATCCTTGTGTTCAACATCCTCTATGAAGTATTCGAACGAGGAACCCGCCTTGCAATGCCGAAGACAATTTGCGCACCGGACTCGTCGTCATTGAAGCCTGGTTCAGGGGCTACTGAGGGAGTCCTGGATTAGGGGGTGTCCGGATGGCCGGACTATGACCTTTGGCCGGACTCCCGGACTATGAAGATACAAGATTGAAGACTCCGTCCCGTGTCCGGATAGGGACTTTCCTTGGCGTGGAAGGCAAGCTTGGCGATACGATATGAAGATCTCCTCCCATTGTAACCGACTCTGTGTAACCCTAGCCCTCTCCGGTGTCTATATAAACCAGAGAATTTTAGTCCGTAGGACGAACAACAATCATACCATAGGCTAGCTTCTAGGGTTTAGTCTCTCCGATCTCGTGGTAGATCAACTCTTGTAATACCCATACCATCAATATTAATCAAGCAGGAGTAGGATTTTACCTCCACCGAGAGGGCCCGAACCTGGGTAAAAACATCGTGTCCCTTGTCTCCTGTTACCATCCGCCTAGACGCACAGTTCGGGGCCCCCTACCCGAGATCCGCCGGTTTTGACACCGACAGCTACCTTCCTGCAAAAACAACAACAACAACAAAACAGTTCATACAGCAAGTAATTACAGAAAATCACTGCAGTTGCCAAAAATAATGTCTAAATTTAGCATCAGACCACTACACTTAACAAGAGGAGCAGCCACTTGAGTAGCTGACTGACTAGGTTAGTTACTCTACTGTTCATATCAAGGAGTGTTCAACCATTTGTAAGCTACTCTACTACCACTATTAACAAAGATTACTATGCCATTGTACTCCAGCAAAATATACTCATGCTTGACCTAAATAAGCTACTCTAACCACTATGAACCAAAATGTTGACAGCAAGCAGAGTGCTCCAGCAAACAGAGTGGCACTGACCAAGTAAGAAAAAAATCAGTATGCCTACAATCCTACAATCCATACCGGCTGTGCACATGCTAAAAACCTCTTGCCTGTGTCTGTTCCTTCAAAGGCAACAAGCCTCTTAGATGCCATGCCGTGCTTCTCACATGGAGACATCACATCCAGCTCAAGCCCCTTGTAATCTGGATCTTCAATGCTGAAAGGGACCTGCAGAAGCTCGCACAAAGACAATGGCCAAATCAGAACCTAGCGAAATCAACCAAATCAAGAAATCCCAAATCTGAAACCCTAACCCTAACCCTGTACTGACCTCGTTGAGACCGTCTGTGGAGGAAGAATGCATGTACGGGAGGCTAGAATGGTCGTCGCTGCTTTCGTCCTCCAAAACCATGGCGTCGGCGGGGCGGTGCGGCGGCCGGCAGTCGGGACGCGGGCGGCGGCGACGGAGGAAACGAGCGAGGAGGAGGGGAGGGGAATGGTGCGGCCGGGCTGGAGCTGGTGCGACCGGACCAGGTTGCAGCGCACCGGCTCGTCCTAGTCAACGCGCGGGCACGCGCCGATTGGCCAGCGTGGCACCTGACGGGTGGGCCCAAGCTGTCGGATCGGGCGTCAATACGTATAAATACGCGTTTTAGCCTAATTTGCAAAAACTTGGACCAATGTTGGTACTGACACGCAAAAATTGGCAATCATGGTACCAATCTGCATGTAATGCCCGAATTGTGGTACTTCTGTGCAATTAACTCAAAGTTTCACGAAGATGTGCGCTAGAGTAGTGGTTACTACGCCTTCTAGCCGAAGCGTCGGATGACCACCGACTCATATACATTCCATAATATATAAATGACCGGCAAATTGAATCCTCTATACAACTCTTGGGAGGTGATGCATCAGCAGTGGTTGGAGAGAGGGGCCTCACTAGTGGAGAGAGATGGTGATAGGAAAGGAGGCCAGTGGGGCGTCGACAAGCAGCTGGTGAGGCGAGGCAGACTGTTCAGCACCAGAGGTAGGTGGTGGTGCGACCGTCACCGCCAGAGTATGCGAGGAGGTCAGGGTGGAGCAAGCGCGGGAGCATGAGGCAGAATTAGATTTTTCTTATCACCTCTGTTCCAGAATAGGGTTATTTGGATCAGGACCGTTAAAGAAAGAAGTGTGCAAGCTTGAGAAGCCCATAGAGAAAAGCAACAAGATAGGCAATGAAGAGGGACAGAAAGCATTGATTGGACTAGTAAGAACAGTTAGAGAAGTTGTGTTTCTATTGAAGTGTGTAATATTTCTTGTAGTTTTCTTTGGATCCGTTCTCTTAGTGAAAAAATGGTGAAGTATGTGGCCAAGATGTTATCTAATAAAATAATACAGTAGTCACTCAAACCCAAATATAACACGTTTTTGGTCTATAAACAAATTTGGCAGTAAAATATTTTCACTCATTAAGTTCGGTTAGAAAGGACACTTTTTTTAGCGCGTCGGCAGCTCGCTTCAACGTCAATAGTGGTCATTTGGTGCTCCCAAAATATCGATTTAACTTTTATTATGTATGAGATACTCTGTATTTTCGGTGAATTTTTTCAATATATCCGATTCATTGCAAAGAAAAAATAAAATAAAATGACACTCTTTTAAAGAAGCAAATTACTCCTCTAAAGAATACTCGGCTGTATTCTCATCTAAATTATAGAGTATCTAGAGATGCTATAAGGGGGTTGGATAGCTAATTGTTGAATAAGCTATAACCAAAGTTCGATCAGTTCTGCCAAAACATGGCATGGACAATGAGCATGCATGCCAATATCCGCAGGACTTCACAAGGACTACGATTTCCTAACCATAGGAGCGGGAGCGGCTTAGGAATTTACTCTTTTGTACAGCGATGAAATGTCAGATATCTGAAAGTTCAACTTGTGGCAGTTCACCTACCATAAAGCAAAATAGAATAAAATGCAATAATAGTGATCAAGCATTAGTGCGTAACACTTGCCCCTTTTTGGTAAAACACAATGATTAGTCACGGATGCATCTTCAAATCAAATACTGTATGAGTGAGTGACGGCGCAGTTCAACCATAGATGAGTTCGCCATTACTTTATCAATCCGAGGGATGCTAACATAGAGACAGACACCAGAATTCCTAAGAATGCTATAGTTATGGCTACAACCTGCCGAGCGTCCTTGGAGATGCCGCCGGCACTGCTCGCCCTGGGCACGTATCGGTCGAGCTCGCCGTAGGTCTCCTCCCTCTCCTCGTACTCCTCATCCTTGTCGTCGGCAGCCTCCTCCTCCGTGTTTGTGACAAGAAAACCCTCGAACATGACGACTGCCGCGTCGGCGTCGGCGTCGGCATCGTCTTCAGTGTCTGCGCCTGTGCCGGCATCGGCGTTGGCGTCGTCTCCGGGCCCCATGACGTAAAAGCGAAACTCCTCGTCCAGCATCACCGGGGTCTGCAGCTCCACGTGGGGGTTCTCCGCCGACACCAGCCCGAGCAGGAGGTCCCGCGTGCCGATCTCGACGCAGGCGGCCACGGCACCCTGGCGGCCGGCGCTCTCCGCGTCGACGAGGAAGACGTCCGTGACGTAGATGGGCTCGTTAGCCCTCGGGGTTAACCTGTGCCCCGTGCCGCTCTCGAGGGGCAGGCCCCAGCGGTGGTACGGGTGCGACGGCTGCTCGTCCACGGCCATGGCCATGCTCGAGCGCTTGTCTCTAATCGGGTGGCTGATACGTGCGTGTCTCCTCTGCTCCTCCTGAACGATCGACACCGGAATCGCTTGCTGTGTGCACCGACGCAGGCGCTTCCTCTGATGCTTATATTGAACGGGGACACGCCGATACTGATCTGTAGTCGGCGAGGAATCCTAGTGTGGATTTGGGTAGACGGAGAACGGGAGAAGGAGAGTAGATCGAGCAATTCCGATTTGTACCCGGGGATGAATCCTTAGCTAGTACGGAATCGGGTACACAGACTAGGCCATGATCGGAACAGATAGAACAAAATGATCATGGTTCAAGCCAAATTTATCATCTTTACGATTATTCGTCACAAAAAACTACTTCCTCCGTTAAGAAATAGCATAAGAGCGTCTAGATCACTGCAGTAATGACCGATTAAGTCAAATTTGACCCCGATTCTAACGTGCCTGGTCTATTTGTCATGGACGACATGGTACAAAAGTCAACCGGATTATATTGGCCTACAAGACAAGCAGGATTCAACTGTTAGTTCTCTTAAAAATAGGCCACACCATTAATTTCCTCTCTCTCCCTCGTCCCATTTCCCCAGCCGCCACCGCCCGGGGTGAGACCGCTCCTCCGCCTCCGCTCCTATTCTTTTACATGACATTCTCCTCTCCTCCCCTCATGGCGCCCGAGGCACCAGCCACACGCACCGGACACGCTGCCCGCCTCGCCTACACCCATGACGCTACCGGCTAGATGCACCGAGAAGGAGAGGAAGCGTAAACACAAGGAGTCAAACCGGTCATCCACGCAGTGGTCAAGCGCGCGCAAGCAGCCATAAGTGGACGAGCCGGAGGCAAAGGTGGTAACGTTGACACACTTTATTGCTTAAACGTTACTAGGAAATATGCCCGTGCGTTGCAACGGGAAAAAAAACTTATGACATGCCCATCCACTACCTATCTTACATCGACCATAACTTACATGAAAACAAACGTTGCCCACTATGAACACCACCACATCCCTGTGGCCCATGCAAGTCCTTTGACACAACGTTGATCATGTGATGCAACCTCCACTCTATGCCCACAACCCACAACGTCATCCAATAGCAATGCACAATGCTGCTTTACAGGGATTCAAGGATCATGGGGGAGTTCTTGTCCAAATCGGGATTCAAGACGCTAATAAGCTTCAATGAAACCAGGATATTAGTAGCTCTCAGTTTCTCTCTTTAGCAAAGCCTATAAAGCAGATTTAATAATTGATTTCCGATTCACCTTGCTTTCTACTGGGTAACTGGAATTTGTTACTCCAATAGGTACCAAACCACCAACTCCATCTAAAATTTTCATAGCCACACTTAAGTTATACTGGTTCCAAGTTCTATTCGGCTACCCCAAGTAATCATCAACCAAACATGCATATTATATTTTGTAAATTGGCATTTCCATTCCTGTGTAGCACAAATTTCACATACCATGTTTACGTACGGATCCTTGTAGCCACCAGTTGCCTACATGACATAAGCCACTCTACTGCTTCAGCAACCTGCAAATTCCCAACAGAGATATGGACACAGATGAGGCAGTCAGGCAATAAATTTTAGAACATCTTAATCCAATAGTTCGATTGGATTTGGAGAAAGTTCTACTCACCAGTGCAGAGCCATGCTTGTTACAACGTTGTTATTGATGGTGGCACAAATGGATGGCTGTCTCTATTGCTAGCGTCGCCTTCTGCAGCGATAGCCACTCCATGATCGAGTAGGCCTTCCTCGGCAAACTCTCACAACCACCGCTCATCCACGGAGGTTGTCGACATCTTCTCGACGTTGCCTTCTATTAACACAGCTCCCGTGATGGTGCTCCCCTCACTGGCCACTCTGCTACCCCTCTCGCACTCCCTGACAACAACTTCTATAGTATGAATATTGGAATGATATACCTGTAACCGACAAACTGAAACACCAATGACAAAATAATGCTTGATATTCTTACTACAACAGAAAAGTTCAATATTGTCAGCTATATGATTCTATAGTACGTACAAGGACATTTGTGTGTGAGCTTAATTATATATGAGAGGACCTTCAGAGCAGTTAAAAAAATTACATGGTCGGAAAAGAAAAAAATACAACTGAATTTCATCAGCTTGATTCATGTTGTTTTGAACTCTACCAGGAGAATAAGATGTCAGTATCCACTGTCAGTAGTTGCAGTGTGGCAACTAATTAGTGGTGAGGCAATTAGTCGGATATTCATATATGTAAGCTGAGCTCCTCCTACAGCTTTATAAATGATTTATGTAGAGAAGAAAGGCATGGTACTAAGGCAGTAATAAGTAATATTGAAATCTTCTCTGCATATCATCTATAGTATTTGCAGGTTGCAGGATGGTTACATCAGATTCCCGTGAAAGGTCAAGGAGACGTAGACAATACTAACGGAAATAGCTTCAGTTCAGTTCCACTTTTTTTTCCTATCACTTCTAATTTCTAAAGGATTGTGGATACCTCTAGTAAACAACTACTGGGAACCGCAAATGATATCTTGGGTTTTAACCAGCTGATTCAAAAACCAAGGGAGGCAGATTAGAGATGCTTTAGTTATATTCCACTGTATGTTTCCTGCATACAGTTCGTATGCAGCTCTACTACCCTGTATTTTTGAGAAACACCTTGTACTACACCCCTTCTTCATGAATGAAAAGCCAATCTGGCATTTTCATCAAAAAAAGAACTCTTGGTTTCTAAGGAAACAATCTAAATCCAGTATGTAATTTGAAGTACGAATTTCGTTTTTACTCAACAATAGTATCCACTAAATGTACGCGGTATAATTATGTCTCAAGTAATACAGGCAAGCTATGTAACTGAATAAAAGATAAATAAGGTGTGCCATAATGAGAACAAATAGTCATACAACAAATAATAATATCAAACCTAACCCTCTAACTCTGGTCAGCAGCTTGTATCAAGTTGTGGAAGGCCCGTGTCTGAATTATTGGAAGATAAAACACATCAAGTCTTATTACATAAGAACATGGAATCATAAAGAGCATTTACTCGGGCATGTTCGTGTGGATCTGGAGCATTGCCCGTAAGCTAATGGTGGACAGAATTTTAGTAGTGAAAGAAACAAACCAGTGTCATCCATATCCTCAAATTCCATATGAATCAAAAAGTGATAACTATCCTCGAGAACAAGCCATATACTCGTATTTAGTATCAATCAGTGAGCAGCATCATAGAAGTGTTATTTGTTTGGTTTCTGGCAGAGAGCAGCAATATATATAATGGGGTCAACGCCTTCTTCGGAACTCCCAGATATGCATGCTCATGTTCCTGCCTGCAAGTAACAAAAGACTAAGCACTTAGCTTAGAATTCAATGTAAAAAATGTAATTAAAGAACATGTAAAGGGGATAAGTACACCATTGATTATTTCTCACTGGAGCGCTACACCGGATCCATGGCATAGGAGGAAACTCTTTCAGATGTATACTGCTACAGCACACAGTACTGTTGAAATGCTAGCCGAAGAAAAAATTCATGGTAGAACGATTATCATTAAAATCATGAGGCCAAATGGCCAACAATTTAGTGGGGCCCTGTGATTTTGGGCCAACAGTGTTCATATATTTTCCAGTGCATATATCCCAAAGAACTTGCATCACTTTCTTGCTTTTATTGTAACACCAGTTGATTAATTGACCACAAAACTGATAAAATATTCCTAAGCAAAATTTCTTCTAGTTAGAACTGAAGCCTTTTGATGTTAGCAACTCATCTGGAGTGTCTTGCCCAACATCAAGAAATTAGGATGAGAATGAGGAATGAAGGATTCAACCTGGGCAGATAAAAGTTAATGCATTCCAAAATTGTTGTGGTGGACAGAGCAGCAGACACAGCTTGATCTCATCCTTGTTGAAGTCGTTGATGAAGAGGTCCAGATTTTAACACATAGATGAACAAACAATTCCCCTATGCATCGCTGGCTGAGAACAATGATAACAACTTTTGAGATTGATCTTAGGCTTCCTCCTCTGTGTCCACGAGCTGCAAGTCAGCCTCTGCCTCTGAATCGGTGTGCTAACGACGGGGGACAGGAGCCTGAGAGTGTGGCATGCTGCTGTAAACTGAGAAGGGGAGAAGAGGCCTACTGCCATGTTACTGACGGTGACGGGCTAGGCTGCTGTCTGCGCTCCCCCTCGCCGACGAGCATGGACCTGCAAGGTCCCCAGCAGCATACATGGCTGGAGATCCGGAGAGGCAGGGCTCGGCAAGCAGGGGCGGGGCATAGAGCGCGGAGGCCTTGGCCAGAGCATCCGCGCCCGTGTCGCCGTAACCATCGGCCGGATCCAACGCGCGCGATTCTGACACCGCCCTGCCTCCTGCGCGTCCTCCTCCTCCTCCCGGCCGTTTAACGTGGCGGCGCGGAGCGTGTTGAGCAGCCCGTCGCGGTCGGCGGCGCGTGCTCGAGCCCGCCGGTGCAGGCCCGGAGCGCGGCGGCCTGGGCCTCGGCGTCGGCGAACCGCGCGAGGACTTGGACGGCGCGGGGAGGAGGGCGCGGCGGTGAGAAGGCAGGCCGGGGTGCGGGGAGGACGGCAGCACGGCGCGGCTGAGGATGCGGGCCGGCGGCGGCGAGGCAGCGGATTCAGATGGGGTGGGAGACGCAGTCGCTCGATTCGGGGGTGGGTTTTTATTTTTCTTTTTCTTTTTCAAGCGCGTCCGTGGGGCAGACACACGAAACGTTTTCCCCACTTATTTACTGGACTACGGGTTTATTTTCATAAAGGTCAAGGGGTTTTCTGTAAAAATGCCGATAGCGGAAAGATAAAGATTGTTCATGGGAATACAAGATACGTCCGGAGGGTTTAGAAGGCACAGATGGCGACCTTCCCCTGGACGAAAAGCATGTCTAATAAGGCTATGTGCCTCGAAGTTGGTATCTCGCCCTTTGAAGATGGGAGAGCAACTTTGGAACTCTATGTAGTGTCTATAATTTCCT